AACCGCCACGTCATCCGCAACCCCGCCCTGGTTGCCACGTCATACCCTCCTGCATCCGCCACGTCCACCAACAAACCACCCCACTCGCCACGTCACACCCCCCACCAAGAGCCACGTCACCCCCCACCCACCTGAAACGCCTTGCCTCGCCATCAGCCGCTCCAGTGTACCCTTTCCAACCGCCCCGTCATCCGTAACCCCGCCCTGGTTGCCACGTCATACCCTCCTGCATCCGCCACGTCCACCAACAACCCACCCCACTCGCCTCGTCACACCCCCCACCAAGAGCCACGTCACCCCCCACCCACCCGAAACGCCTTGCCTCGCCATCAGCCGCTCCAGTGTACCCTTTCCAACCGCCCCGTCATCCGCAACCCCGCCCTGGTTGCCACGTCATACCCTCCTGCATCCGCCACGTCCACCAACAAACCACCCCACTCGCCACGTCACACCCCCCACCAAGAGCCACGTCACCCCCCACCCACCCGAAACGCCTTGCCTCGTCATCAGCCGCTCCAGTGTACCCTTTCCAACCGCCGCGTCATCCGCAACCCCGCCCTGGTTGCCACGTCATACCCTCCTGCATCCGCCACGTCCACCAACAACCCACCCCACTCGCCTCGTCACACCCCCCACCAAGAGCCACGTCACCCCCCACCCACCCGAAACGCCTTGCCTCGTCATCAGCCGCTCCAGTGTACCCTTTCCAACCGCCGCGTCATCCGCAACCCCGCCCTGGTTGCCACGTCATACCCTCCTGCATCCGCCACGTCCACCAACAACCCACCCCACTCGCCACGTCACACCCCTCACCAAGCGCCACGTCACCCCCCACCCACCCGAAACGCCTTGCCTCGTCATCAGCCGCTCCAGTGTACCCTTTCCAACCGCCACGTCATCCGCAACCCCGCCCTGGTTGCCACGTCATACCCTCCTGCATCCGCCACGTCCACCAACAACCCACCCACTCGCCACGTCACACCCCTCACCAAGCGCCACGTCACCCCCCACCCACCCGAAACGCCTTGCCTCGTCATCAGCCGCTCCAGTGTACCCTTTCCAACCGCCGCGTCATCCGCAACCCCGCCCTGGTTGCCACGTCATACCCTCCTGCATCCGCCACGTCCACCAACAACCCACCCCACTCGCCACGTCACACCCCCCACCAAGAGCCACGTCACCTTCCACCCACCCGAAACGCCTTGCCTCGTCATCAGCCGCTCCAGTGTACCCTTTCCAACCGCCGCGTCATCCGCAACCCCGCCCTGGTTGCCACGTCATACCCTCCTGCATCCGCCACGTCCACCAACAAACCACCCCACTCGCCACGTCACACCCCTCACCAAGCGCCACGTCACCCCCCACCCACCCGAAACGCCTTGCCTCGTCATCAGCCGCTCCAGTGTACCCTTTCCAACCGCCACGTCATCCGCAACCCCGCCCTGGTTGCCACGTCATACCCTCCTGCATCCGCCACGTCCACCAACAACCCACCCCCTCGCCACGTCACACCCCTCACCAAGCGCCACGTCACCCCCCACCCACCCGAAATGCCTTGCCTCGTCATCAGCCGCTCCAGTGTACCCTTTCCAACCGCCACGTCATCCGCAACCCCGCCCTGGTTGCCACGTCATACCCTCCTGCATCCGCCACGTCCACCAACAACCCACCCACTCGAGTCATCAGCCGCTCCAGTGTACCCTTTCCAACCGCCACGTCATCCGCAACCCCGCCCTGGTTGCCACGTCATACCCTCCTGCATCCGCCACGTCCACCAACAAACCACCCCATACGCCTCGTCACACCCCCCACCAAGAGCCACGTCACCCCCCACCCGCCCGAAACGCCTTGCCTCGTCATCAGCCGCTCCAGTGTACCCTTTCCAACCGCCACGTCATCCGCAACCCCGCCCTGGTTGCCACGTCATACCCTCCTGCATCCGCCACGTCCACCAACAAACCACCCCACTCGCCACGTCACACCCCCCACCAAGCGCCACGTCACCCCCCACCCACCCGAAACGCCTTGCCTCGTCATCAGCCGCTCCTGTGTACCCTTTCCAACCGCCACGTCATCCGCAACCCCGCCCTGGTTGCCACGTCATACCCTCCTGCATCCGCCACGTCCACCAACAACCCACCCCACTCGCCACGTCACACCCCCCACCAAGAGCCACGTCACCCCCCACCCACCCGAAACGCCTTGCCTCGTCATCAGCCGCTCCAGTGTACCCTTTCCAACCGCCACGTCATCCGCAACCCCGCCCTGGTTGCCACGTCATACCCTCCTGCATCCGCCACGTCCACCAACAACCCACCCCACTCGCCACGTCACACCCCCCACCAAGAGCCACGTCACCCCCCACCCACCTGAAACGCCTTGCCTCATCATCAGCCGCTCAAGTGTACCCTTTCCAACCGCCACGTCATCCGCAACCCCGCCCTGGTTGCCACGTCATACCCTCCTGCATCCGCCACGTCCCACAACAACCCACCCCACTTGCCACGTCACAACCCCCACCAAGAGCCACGTCACCCCCCACCCACCTGAAACGCCTTGCCTCGCCATCAGCCGCTCCAGTGTACCCTTTCCAACCGCCACGTCATCCGCAACCCCGCCCTGGTTGCCACGTCATACCCTCCTGCATCCGCCACGTCCCACAAACAAACCACCCCACTCGCGACGTCACACCCCCCACCAAGAGCCACGTCACCCCCCCCCACCCGAAACGCCTTGCCTCGTCATCAGCCGCTCCAGTGTACCCTTTCCAACCGCCGCGTCATCCGCAACCCCGCCCTGGTTGCCACGTCATACCCTCCTGCATCCGCCACGTCCACCAACAACCCACCCCATACGCCTCGTCACACCCCCCCACCAAGAGCCACGTCACCCCCCACCTACCTGAAACGCCTTGCCTCGTCATCAGCCGCTCCAGTGTACCCTTTCCAACCGCCGCGTCATCCGCAACCCCGCCCTGGTTGCCACGTCATACCCTCCTGCATCCGCCACGTCCACCAACAAACCACCCCACTCGCCATGTCACACCCCCCTCGCCATGTCACACCCCCCACCAAGAGCCACGTCTCCCCCCACCCACCTGAAACGCCTTGCCTCGTCATCAGCCGCTCCTGTGTACCCTTTCCAACTGCCGCGTCATCCGCAACCCCGCCCTGGTTGCCACGTCATACCCTCCTGCATCCGCCACGTCCACCAACAAACCACCCCACTCGCCATGTCACACCCCTCACCAAGCGCCACGTCACCACCCACCCACCTGAAACGCCTTGCCTCGTCATCAGCCGATCCAGTGTACCCTTTCCAACCGCCACGTCATCCGCAACCCCGCCCTGGTTGCCACGTCATACCCTCCTGCATCCGCCACGTCCACCAACAACCCACCCCACTCGCCACGTCACACCCCCCACCAAGAGCCACGTCACCCCCCACCCACCTGAAACGCCTTGCCTTGTCATCAGCCGCTCCAGTGTACCCTTTCCAACCGCCACGTCATCCGCAACCCCGCCCTGGTTGCCACGTCATACCCTCCTGCATCCGCCACGTCCACCAACAACCCACCCCACTCGCCACGTCACACCCCCCACCAAGAGCCACGTCACCCCCCACCCACCTGAAACGCCTTGCCTCGTCATCAGCCACTCCAGTGTACCCCTTAAAACCGCCACGTCAGCCCCAACCCCGCCCTGTTGCCACGTCAACCCCCACCCGCCCCATTTGGGCCCGTCACATACCGGGAATGGGTTTGTCTCCCGCAACACTAGCACTCGTGCCTTGTCCACTGCACTCATCGGCGGAGGGTTACCAGCCATAGGCACGGCTGCGGAACCGCCGGCATAACTAGCAGGTACTCCACGATGCAGGCCGAGCTGTGCAAAACATGGCGTACATCTCAGACCGCAACGCGTGGAACTCCTCCCGTGTAACAAACTGCTCGTGCTCCGCACTTTCACCTAGGGCACCCATGAGCGTAGGAAAAGGGTGTGAAGAATCCCCCCTCTGGCCAAGGGGATCAATGTCTTCTGCAGCAGTCCCGTGTGCCCTCACACTATCACGCTGGCAGGAAAAGGGGAGCTCAGGGAAGGGATTGGCAGAAGTGCTTGGTTGATGCCCGCGCGAAGGACCGGTGAGGGGGGAGACCGCCCTGCCCCGGACAGGAGAAGCGTGTAGTGGCCGAAATGGGTACGAGGGTGAGGCGAGTAGGGAGTGCGTGACGGGAGCTGGTGGAGGGGATTCGGATTCCTCTCCTCTTGGCGCGCCGGGTGCCGTCGCAGCGACTCTGCTCCTGTAGTGTCTTGGTGCTCCTGTGGATAGCGGTGTAACACTCGCTCTTCCGGCGCCCTTCGTTAGCTGCATCCGTTGCACGCTTACCGGTGGCCCAATGCCTGTAACACGAGTGGCTGAGATTTAGAGAGAGTAGGATCAAGACATTAGAGTCGATCGGTATCAATACAAGGCCAGACAGGCATGCATGAGATCAATGGTTTGAATCTAATTCGGGTTTAGGGTTGTACTGTTTTGAGACAAGAGACTTTACCTTGCTTTGCAGATTCGTCGACCTTCTCCTTCCCTGCATGGGAGAAACCAAGTGAAGAATGTTGTTATTTGGCACGGTTGAGCAGAGAGTGCAAGGAAAACGCCAGGTGTATTGGCCAGGGTGCTCACATTTCTGCTGGCCCGTCGGTTTTTTTTGCTGCCAGCGCCTTCTCATTGCCACCTTTCCGCGGGGTGCTTTGGCGGCCGCTGCGACGTTTACCGGCAGGTTCTTTCTTGCCGGTACCCACTGGAACCCCTTTGGCGCGGCCACCCTTTCCTCCTCCATCCCCTTTTGCTCCCTGGCGCCCTTGCTTTTTACCACCCCCTTCACTTTCGACCTTCACCTTACGCGCCTTCGGTTTGCCAGCTGCTTCGCCGCGCGCGGCGTCAACTGCCCCGCGTTTCCGGGAATGGCGAGTCCGGCCCCCCACCTTCCCTGTACCACTCTGCTATCTGCCACGCCCGCCCCGTCCCTTCACTGCCGCCGCCACCTCCTCCTCCTCCTCCTCCTCCTCCTCCTCCTCCTCCTCCTCCTCCTCCTCCTCCTCCTCCTCCTCTTCCTCCTCCTCCTCCTCCTCCGCCTCCTCCTCCTCCTCCTCCTCCTCCTCATCCTCCTCCTCGTCGTCCCCCTGCTCTTCCTCCTCCTCCTCCTCTTCCTCCTCCTCCTCCTCCTCCTCCTCCTCCTCCTCCTCCTCCTCCTCCTCCTCATCCTCCTCCTCATCCTCCTCCTCCTCCTCATCATCGTCGCCGCCCTCCTCGTCCTCCTCCTCCTCCTCCTCCTCCTCGTCCTCCTCGCCATCATTCTCATCTTTTTTATCCTCCCCATCATCCGCGTCATCCTCCTCCGCATCCTCTTCATCCTCCTCTTGCTCTGCATCCTCCTCCTCATCATCCGCCTCCACGGCGTCACCAGGGTCTTCATCGCCCCGTTTCGGCCTCATCCTCATCGCTGTTGTCTTGCCCCTCTTTCCGCCTGATGTTTTTCTTGCCCCGGGTCGGCCCTTCTGGCGCAATGCATGACCCGTCGCCTTGCCACTAGCTTCACTGGCGCCTCGCGTTGTCCCAACTTCCGCGCCACCGGCGTCGTCAGCACTGCCTGTCGTCTACCGCCTCTTCGCCCGCGTGGTGATGTCCCCGGGCACAATGGTGTCATAATCGTCCTCCTCGTCGCTCTTCCTCTGCCTACGCCTTCCCCGTCCACCAGAAGGAGGAGATCCACCGACGTCGGCGATGCTGTGGTTAGGATCCCCCATCGACTCGTGCTCCCCCACCTTGGCCTTATCCAGCACGGCAGCAGAAATTTCGACCACGGTCGGCTGGAGCGGCGTCAGATGGTGTTGTGATGCCTCCGCCTCGGACTCCTTGGTTGCGGCATGCTCGGCACGGGGATCGCCTCCGTGGTTTCCCCCTTCACTGTAGAAACATGCTTGCGTGGCCCTGGTTGCTTCCCGTTGTCTTCCGCCTTCCTGCCGGTCTTCTCTTGACCGCGCGCGCGACCTTCTTTGCCGCCACTTTTTTCAGCCCAGTGCCACGCGCAACGGACGCATTAGTTCTTTTAGCGCCGCCGCCACCCTCCCTATCGGTGCGTTTAGACATCGTCCTTGTCGCACGGCGTCCGGCCTGTTCCTCCTCCATAGCTTGTTGACGTGTGGCACGTGCCATGGTTGTTGTAGGAATGCCAATTTCTATCGCGCGGAATGGGTTAGCCGGTTTCGAAGGGGTGCCGCAACTGAATCCCACGATGGGATTCTCGACGGTCTATCACTGTTATCTTCCTCCGAAAACCGCCGCGACAACTTACACTGAAATATTAGCCACTACGCACATAGCTACGGCCCATGACTTAGTATACTGGTGAGTCACGAGCGATCCGGAAACGGGCTTGTCAAACAGCGAGCAGCGTCAAAGTGATGGCTCAGAGGGTGACGGAAGCAGGTGGGTGGGGCACGAGTGTGGTTGGGGTGGGTTGCGAGACTAGAGGGATTACTGTAACCCTATCAGGCTATAACGGACGGTGTACGTGTAGCCACCTGAGCATAAACCCGCGTCCCGCTAGGTCTCAGCCACCCAGGGTTGGAAGTACCTCTTGGCTGGTGCTTGTGTTGCGTGGGGAATCGTTTGAGATGCATCGGCCAATCACGTTTGCCAACGCATCAATCACTACGCATGGTATGACGGTTTTAGAACCACATGTGCGAATGTAACCTGATCCCTGCAACGTACAGTGCTGTCGCAAACGCACAGTGCTGCACATAGGAGCTAAATAATTATAAAAAATACAACAATTCAAAACATCAAAACCTTTGTTGCTGATGTTCTAGTATGGGGTTGCAGCCGGTAGTGGGTTTGTCTCATGTCACACACACAAAGTGCCTCTAGAAGGGTTTGTTGTGACAGCTGTACTGCGCACCTGTAGGCTTTGCCACAACGGGTACTCGCCAGCATGCGATATTCTAACGTGACGTTGAATAGTAAATAACGAGAAACAATTGTGGTATGGTGTTGGATTGTCTTCCATTCTTCCACGGACATTCAACGAGGTGCTCAGAAGGAGTGGTATGAAGCACAGGCCCAACGCAAAGGCGGCGGCGCGTTATCGATAGCAGTGTTTAGACAGTGCGACGTTGGAGCGTTCGGGCCTGTGTGTTGCGCGACATGGTGAATCCGTTGTGGTATGGTGTTGGATTGTCATCCATTCTTGCACGGACATTCAACAAGGTGCTTAGAAGGAGTGGTATGAAGCACAGGCCCAACGCACAAGCGTTAGCGAAGCGTTATCAACAGCGGTATATACATATTCGGTACACGCAACAAACATTCGTTAGGGCACAGAGTTCTTGGGTACTTACTGTTTGTTTCCTGACCACACTAGAGATCTTGGAGGGTTCTTAAACTCTCCCGTTGTCAAGTAGGAGTTGATCTTTGAGCAGGCCTTTTAATGTTATTGTACGATAGTTATCAATGGCTTGAGTGCCTAGTTAAAATGTAACTGTACAATGTCATATCCTGGTTTGTAGTAAGGCTCTAGAGGTGCGCACCACTTTGAGCTCACCTACGTGACCGCGATTTCCCCCCTATAACGATTCGTCACAGAATCACAGATCCAACCAGATCTCTTCCCGCTCTTCCTCATCCCACTCGACTCTCACGCACGGTTCAAACACCCAAGTGCTTGAATCAATAGGCACGTCCTTCTCACCGTGCTCGCGACGCACACACACGACCAACCGTCTTAAGATCCAGTGCATTTTCCTCTGCTCACGTCGTGGTCGGTCTTAACGGGGGCGACACGTCTTGTAGGGAAGACGACCCGTGTTGTGGGCGGTCTGTATCGTGCCTTGTCACGACTACGCGGCTCGAACATCGTTAGCCAGTCCCAAACATTAGCGCCCCGCTCAAATGCCAGTCGTGCAGTGATACAAGCCGCCTTCGACAGTGCGCGATTTGATGCTGACCGTGTTGCAGTCACAGCCTTCTAGAACGGAGTACTTAATGCGTTCACAAGCTTCAAACGAGCTAGTTGCTTCACAGGCCATTTCTCGACTATTAGACGGATCCGTAACACATAGGCACTTTGCAAGGCGTTGTCTGCGAGTTTTGCAACAGATGGTTCCCCAACGCCCAAGTTTATGGCGGTCATAAGTCACGGCGGACCCCTTGTCAAGGGCTTTCCGCCGTGGCAAGGCCCTCGCGATCTGCACCGTCAGCCGGTCTACACGCTATGCTATTCGTCCACGACATTCTGTCGGACGCTCCAGCCTCTCTCGCTTCACCTATAGCGTCTAACGCATCCAACACCGACGGTCTGAATGTTCCTCCTCGCGTGCATGAAGCTGACGAAGACGTAACACTCTCGGCTGTGAACGAGGGGGCTCATGCAAATGAGCATCAACTGCCACCTGGGACACCAGCAGCTGACACGAGTGAGCATCCGGAGAGCCGCCCTGGAGTGAGTAACGCCGCGCCGCCGACCAGCATCTCCGGCCAGAGCAATGCCACGCCCCTCAATCCAATTGCGTTGAAGCTGCTGTATTTCATTCGGCGCGTAAATGGCGGAATGGGAATGGCGGAGATCGACATCAATGGCCTGCTTCAGCTCGTGGTGGATCCCGGCAGTGCGCCTCTTGTAATCTCAGAGATCCGGAACTGCAAGGATCGTTCGAGATGGAGCGCTTGGTAGGGCTCAATCGCGGATGGTCAGTGGCGACCTTCGAGATTGAGGGTCATCCGCCACAGCGCCTTCTCTTTCAGGACTCTGCTCAGGTAAGCCGACTCTGGATCCGTGGCTGCGAAATGCTCATTCCGCAACCACAAGGTGCTTGTTGAAAGTTGCTTCCGTTATGCTTGTGTGAGATCTGACCCAGCTGCAACGCCACTAACCAGGATTTACTTCTCTCCTGCCCTTGCCACTAAACACTAGGCATTTGCCGAACTGTTTGGGCATACCAACAACGCGCCCAGCTTCAAGCTCAAGGCTCATGTCGATGAGGACCCTGACACAGGCGAGCGTCGCTATACCACGCCAGAAACAGGAACGTGGTGGAACGATGCTCAGGTATGGAAACACCCCGTTGCCACCCAAAACCAGATCCGTGCGCATGCCTCTGTTGATGCGCTGATGTGTATGGAGCATCTTCATTGTGTCATGTTCCTTGGGAGTGATTTAAAGCAGGCTTAATCCGCCTGGCGACACTTTACCTTGATGGTGTTTGACCGTGTGTCTGTTCCCTCTTTGTCGTGCATTGCAGGAACACTTCGGATGGTCCGAATTTGTGGGGGGGATCATCCTATATTTGGATGTGATGCACATGAGCAACAACGGCCGGAAGAAGGCGTGGCCGCTCATGATGACGCTGGCCAACATCTCCCAGGCCAAGCGATGGGGGAAAGCCGGGCACACACTACTTGCCCTCCTTCCTATCCCCCCGTCTGCAATGTCTGCCGTGGAGAAGGTGGTACTCTTCGAGCGATGCGTCATCACCGTGCTGCAGCCGCTTCTTGATGGCATGGAAAGGTTCGTACTCGGGTTGCATCTTTCTATGTCATCATCCAACCACCCAAAACCAGATCCGTGCGCATGCCTCCGTTGATGCGTTGATGCGCAAAGCGTCTCTGTATGTTGCCTGCCCCTTTGCCCCTCTTCGTTCCTCCCTAAAAGCCGTCCTCCGAATTCCTGATGCCACTCTACCTGTTCCTTTCAACGGGTTCCGTCTCAGGGACCTTTCGGTGATTGGCAAACCGTGCGGCCCCTGCTGTATGCCTGGGTGTGCGACTACCCCGAGAGCGGCAAGATCAGTTGCACACTCTCGCATGGATCGCGGATGCCGTGCAGCATCTGCTATGCTGCAAAGGTGAGGTCACATGGCATGTGCACGCATTCGAACACATTTTCGTTTGAGTGTCGCCTGATATAACCCATATAGTTACCACCCATACCTTCGTATCCCATCCCTCACCCCCGTGCTACACCAGGAGCATTTGGGGGCTGTCAAGGCACGGAACATGCCGCGCACGCCTGAACAGCAGCAATGGATCGTTAACGAGGCGGCTGCGACGACAACTAGCCAGGACAACCCGTGCAAGACCTACTCTACCTACCCTGTTGAGGTGAGTGACCTGTTTCCGGGCTAATCTTCCGTCTATGCACTCGCCCGCCCCATCATGAATTGCCAGATATGCTCTGCCTCATTGAACTCACCCCACATGTGGTTTTGGTTAGCTATTCATTCTGAAAAGTACATTTCTCCTTCATTCCAAACCGCATCCCCATTTCCAGTGCGTGCTCTGGAAGTGGGATGTCCCAGGGACCGCGTGGGGAAATCCCTACCTCGTTATCATGCCTGACATCATGCACCAGGCGGACCTGGGCATCATGAGCCACATTGTGGCTGTCGTGCGCAAGATGAAGAAGCGGCGTGTGAAGCAGATGGACAGGTCGGGCTTTGGGGATTGGATTCGTTGCTCTCGGTCACATTTACTCAAAGCATAAGCACTGTCCTCTTACTAACATGTTTCTGCCCTTGTGCCACCGTTGAACTGATATGTATGGGCAGGCGCCTGTCACTCATTCGCGACCGCACGTGCCTGAATCACATGCGCCTGCCAGAGAGCGCCTACTTCGAGACCGGAGCATGTGTCGCGGCCTATGAGCACAGGGCCGTCATGCAGGTATGACAGCCCTGAATGTTAACGCCTTGTTCGATAGGCTGCACCCGATACACATTACCGCCCGAATCCATGTTAAACCCACACACCTGCTGCCTGCCCCCCCCTCTGTTCCCTGTTGCTTGTCCTGACCGCCCCTCTACCAGTCTGGTCATGCTGCCACTCTTTGTCCCTACTCCTCACACCATCTGTGCTCACCCTCCCCTTTGCTGCTCACCGTTGAATTTTGCAGGTCATGGTGTTTGTTTTTGCCGGCCTGCTTCGCCAGCCCCAGATGGATGCCATTCGTGCCTATCTTGGCTGGTACCTCCTGTGCTCCTAGCCACAGGGGCACACTGAGCGGTCCCTTTAGGAGCTGAAGAAGATGACCTCCCGGTACTAATACCACGCATGTAAACCCCTGTGCATGGGATGAATGCTTGGCTAGTGTAAATCTGCTCTTGTAGTAGGCAATCTGGGGATGTTGCTGC